CTTATTTAAACCACATGCTATCCAATCTGAAACAAAACAACACAACACAAGTTACAAAAAAGCAAACCAGTTTAAGTAATTTTGAAATGTATAAACAAATTATAGTTCCAAAATTAAATTAATTATATATTGCCGTCAAAAAGTAATTTATTTATCGCCCATCACGTATTTGAATGTATAAATTCCTTAATCTTAATTCGAAACATCTTTCCTTCTACGATCAAATATTTTTATTACTTTTTTATCCAATATGATATAAGATAATGCTTTCGGGAAAAAAATTATAAAATATAATTAATTCGGAGCGATAATTTTAATATGTTTTAATTGTTTGGTATATGCATCAAAAGCCGAAGCATTTGTTTTCTACCAAACCTTTTTCGTGACATTGAGCTTAATGCCTACTGATACATACATATATATATATATATATTGTAAGTATGTATATGTGTATGTGTGTATGTGTGTAAAGTTCATCGGAAGGAAGAAAAACTTTATAACAAAGAATATACGATCTCAGAGGTTTCTTTCTTTTCACAGCTTTTGGCGCAGTTAAAATACTATATTCAATAGGGGTTGGCGTTTTGGGAAATGGTTCGGGTTCGGAATGGAATGGATCGGTTCGGTTCTTTCGGTTTTACAAAAATAAGTACCAATCGGATTTTTTTATTGTATTCGCCTATTCGGTTCGGTTCGGTTTCGATATCGGTTCGGTTCAGTTTCGGATTTTATTAAAAAAAATGTTAGATTTTTTAAAAAAATATTCGGTTTTTCGGAATTTTTAAAGTTCGATTCGGTTCCGGAAAAATTCGGTGGTACCATTCGGAAAATAACAGCGGTTTCGGATCGGAAAAAATACTGTTTTAACGGTTCGGTTCGGTCCGGTTTCGAAGAACCGAACCGAAACGCTCAGCCCTAATATCCAACCATGCCTTCGAAAAAAATTTCCAAAAATATTGAAAAATATATACTGGCAATTTATACAAGAAATAAATTAAACAGGAGAAAATAAATGGACAGTGATATTATTGAAGACGTGAAGTGGACGATGTAAAATGTGAGTGGTCTTATCCACTTAGCTTTGCCACGTGGCGTAACAGGGAAGCTCATCGGCAACGTGGTTTATATTGACCATATATTTCTATATTGTTTCGTTCTATATACTTTCTACCGACGATGAAAATCTAAATATATTTCAGGGAAAAAATAATAATTATAAACGGTGAAATTTATTTATTTATTTTTTCGGTAAATAACGGTGAAATTTATTTAAAAAAAATACATGTGCGATTGTTCGGTTGTATTGCCAGCCCTGAAAGTTTAAGAAAATTGTACATCTATTTTAATGAATATACATAAAATCTCATATATATTTTTTTTGGTAAAAGAATCTCATATTTAATTGTGCAAAACCATATATATATATATATATATCATTTTAGTATGTGATGGGCCTAGAAAAACCACTAAACTATTGGAATTGACAGGTGCATGTATGACATCTTTTAAACCGACATAAATTCTCACAAAATTACAAAAAACCTTGCGATTTTGGTATATATTATACTATTATCAACGTAAAAAACATAATCAATTATAAGTTTAAGCGCTTTTTTTTCCGGGATTATTCTGAGTCTTACACCCGGTTATTCGAAAAAAAAAATTATAAGTTTAAGCGGTATATGTAAAATTAAAATGATCCGTCGACATGCTTGTCACAACCGGACAACTTTCTGTACTGACTCTGTCCGAGTCAAAACTGGCTCGGTCCGAGTCAGAAGTCTGCAAAGCCAAGTCTTCATTTTGGTTCGTTCTGACTCGGTCGAGTCAACACTTGACTCTGTCCGAGTCAAAACTCTGATCTGTCGTTCTGACTCTGTCGAGTCAAAACTCTGACTCTGTCGAGTCAAAACTCTGACTCTATCGAGTCAAAACTCTGACTCTGTCCAGGTCATTAAAAACAATGGCATGGTTCGTAAAAAAAATATCAACTTCATATCAGTATCAGGTGTAATATAACTATGTATGTGTATATATGTGTGCATGTATATATATATGTATGTATGTATATATATAACCTTTTCTCTTGGCACTTTCGGTTGGGTCTGTCACGAGCTATCCGCAAATGCCTATTACTATTCCCATGACTATATACGCGTGGTATATATATATATATATAAGTAGAAAAAAAAATATGTAATGAAATGGAAATACAATAAGATGAAGGTGCTATTTATGAAATCATACTGCATAGAGAAATAAATTTAATATATACACAAAAAAAAGGATAATGAGGTTTATTATAACTGTGAAAAGAAGCAAACGGACAGATAGATGCCATACTTTTCATCTTTTTTTGGGCAACAGATGTCATATCCAACGCAATATATATATATATATATATATATATAATAGATAAGTTATATAATTGAGTAGCTGTAAAATAATTTTATGCTAGCTGGTTGGTCGGTTAAATGAAAGAGAGTTATCGCATGTTAGTGGAAATCAAGCATAAGAGATCCACCACCCTCGCTTCAAAGTGCTTTGCTGCCAAAATCGCAATTTGCTTTTGCCAATAACATTGGACAAATTATATACATACACTCATATATGTATATATGTTTATAGTGTGCTGTATGTATGTATGTATGTATTGACGATATATTGACCATGCAAGTGGCAAAACAAATGTGAAGTTCTTTTTGTTTTGTTTCCTTTTAGTTTTTTTTTTCATGGGCAATTGGTGGGTAGCATATGATGTGATTAATCATTCAATGTACCAATGAATACTTCTTTTCTTAGGGGGCCAAACACTTTATATATATATATATATATGTGTGTGTGTGTGTACATGTCTGTGTATATATGTTGTGTTGTTACACACACACACACACACACACATATATATACATACATACATACATACATACATACATACATACATACATACATACATACATACATACATACATACATACATACATACATACATACATACATACATACATACATACATACATACATACATACATACATACATACATACATACATACATACATACATACATACATACATACATACATACATACATACATACATACATACATACATACATACATACATACATACATACATACATACATACATACATACATACATACATACATACATACATACATACATACATACATACATACATACATACATACATACATACATACATACATACATACATACATACATACATACATACATACATACATACATACATACATACATACATACATACATACATACATACATACATACATACATACATACATACATACATACATACATACATACATACATACATACATACATACATACATACATACATACATACATACATACATACATACATACATACATACATACATACATACATACATACATACATACATACATACATACATACATACATACATACATACATACATACATACATACATACATACATACATACATACATACATACATACATACATACATACATACATACATACATACATACATACATACATACATACATACATACATACATACATACATACATACATACATACATACATATCTATATTAGCACGAGATTGGGTATAATTGTGATTATTTAATTAGCATAGATAAAAAAAAAATTAGCCGGACCTAGGAGATTTTTCTGCTATTTAATTACCGTATTATATATATATATATATCATAATATTGTTATAGATACACATCTTACCATATCAATGTCTAGTAACAGACTCAGCTAAGAAAGGGGAAAGATAAACATGAATATACACAGATGCAACAATAAAATAAATTTGGTAAGATGTGTGTATCTATCTGTAACACATATCACGATTGGTTATTTTCAAGTGATTATTGATTTTAATATTAATTATTCACAATTAAGAAAACAAATAATTATTTGTGGAACTGCTTGTGTACATAATGTCAAGAATGCTTTGGTGTATTTTTTTTGGGTACCTTAATCATACGCTCGAATGTGCGTTGATGTATTATTTAATGTCCCCGCATATACTATATGTATTTCCCCATCTATTTAATACATGATGTAATGCAAGTCATAAGACAGGGGATATATTTTATTATAAACGATCGAAATACAAAATGATTTTTCAGAGGGCAAATTCTCAGACATATTTTATTTTTCTATCAATATATATACATATTATATGGTTTTCTTGTACGTTCTCTTCATTTCATATGGCAATCTAAAGAAAAATAGGAGAGAAAGAAAAGGAGTGGTCAGTAATAATAATAAAATGCCAAGGTTGGGCTGTGTAATATAAAAACGAGTTGAAAAAAAAAAAATAAAGAAAATTTCATGCATTAGCTGGATCCACGCATCGAGGCATTTGGACCCACCTTTTCTCAATTATAACAATTTCCGTACCCCTTTGAAGAAAATATTTATAAATTCATCCCATACATTTGATTTATTTACTTAAACTCCCCATACTTTGACTTAACTCGAAAACTCCCCAGGATGGAAAAATATCTAGAGATATGATATAAAAATGGTGAAAAAAATAATAATAAAAGGATCTATTGGAAAAATATCAGTGAAAAAAACCCATAAAACTATGTTTTTCTAAAAAAAATATTTTTTACATTTGGAAAACAATCCATCAAACTATATTTCTAAAGAAGAAATATATTTTTTTTTTACATTTTTACATGTACAAAAAAGGTGTAGGTAATTTTCTCATACGGAATATAAGGCGGAGGAGCGTAAATATGCAAATATAGTATAAACACATGATCGCTCTGTGTTGGACCGAAATAGAAGTTTCAAAAAATATATGGTCAATATATGAAGAACAGTAAAATAAGGGTACGCTCTCGAATTCTCTTTTCTGCTACACATACACACACACATACAGAATCATGTATGTATGTATATTATTATTATTATTATTATTATTTTTGGAATTGAATAAGGTCGCCCATTAAAAAAATCCCGAGTAACAGAGAAATTGAGCTTGAAGCTGAGACAAGCCATGTCTTCAACTCCCACATCTCACCTCACCCTCTCCCAGAAGCATAATTATTAATATATTACCCAATTTTTTATTCGCAGTTTTTCTTAAAGTTTTCCATCTTCTCCTTCCAATAATCCAAATTTTTTTCCCCACTTTCCCCAAAATTCCTTCGCGTATCTCAATTCCAATTCTCATTTCGGGTATCAATTTTCTCACCTTTTTTTCCCCAATCCTGTGTAAGCAAACCACGTTGATTTCTGTTTTTTCTTTTCTCTCTTTCTGGGTATATATTCTCTTGTTCAAAGAATCGTTCTTCTTGGGTTTATCCTTTTTTTTTTTCGGCTGAGAGATGATGAATCCGGGTCACGGGAGAGGACCCGGATCGAGTGGTGGGTCGAGCTCCGGGAAAATTGCGGCCGAAGTTGTCTCCGACCAGTTTCCGGCGGGTCTCAGAGTTCTTGTCGTCGACGATGACCCAACTTGTCTCATGATCTTGGAGAGGATGCTCAGGAATTGTCTCTACGAGGGTTCGAATCAAAATCCTTCTTTTCATATATATATATATATATATATATATATATATATTGTATGAGAGGCTTAGAATCCGAATTTTGTTTCGCGGGTTTATCTCGGTTCACGGTCTCACATATGATGATTTCTCGTTTTCGATTCTTTTTTGTCCATTTAGAAAACTGTGTTTGGGAGGGGGCTAATTATGGCTTAGTTAACGGTGGTTGACTGTCTTTGTTCCGCCAAAAATAGGAAAAGAAAGAAGAAACAGCAATGGAAGTTTTTACTGAAATCTCAGTGATTTATGAACTGTTAGATCCAGACAGCTGAGTTTCTTGGTTAGATGTTCGTTTTATGCTCTCTGATCTGTTGAAGATTGTGCCCCGTACAAGAGATCCTGCATTCAATCTTGATTTTCAGAGCAATTAGTTAGGTCAACATCGTCAGGGTCTGTTCTGCAAGTTCAAAGAGATCTAAGTTAACGGAGTTCTGTCTCGAATCTCTCACTTTCTAGTTCTTCCAGTCCAGACTGTTAGATTTTGCCTTCTCTGCTAAAAAAGTTTCATGATTTGAGTTTGATTTTGATCTCTCTGGTGTTCAGACAGCTGTTTTGCTACCTAAGACTAACTGTGATTGTGGTGGTTTCAGTAACGAAATGCAACAGAGCAGAGATTGCATTGTCACTGCTGAGGCAGAACAAGAATGGATTCGATATCGTCATCAGCGATGTTCATATGCCGGACATGGATGGCTTCAAGCTCCTCGAGCACGTCGGTCTCGAGATGGACTTACCCGTTATCAGTACGGTTCTTTCTCAAACCAAAAGCTTCTCTTCATTCACTTTCGGCATTTCTCTGATGACCCATCTCCTGTGATCTTGTCTTAATCTTGATGCAGTGATGTCTGCTGACGATTCGAAGAACGTTGTCCTGAAGGGAGTAACTCACGGTGCGGTGGATTACCTGATCAAGCCGGTACGTATCGAGGCACTGAAGAATATATGGCAGCATGTTGTGAGGAAGAGGAGGTACGAGTTGAACCTTCCGGAACATTCTGGAAGCATCGAAGAGACAGGAGACAGGCCACAACAGCAGCAGATGCCTGTCACTGGAGGAGAGGACACCGACAATAACTCGTCTTCTGTCAGAGAAGGAAGCTGGAGGAACTCACGAAAGCGTAAGGACGAAGAGGCAGAGGAACAATGCGAGGATAAGGATGATACGTCCTCTCTAAAGAAGCCTCGTGTCGTCTGGTCAGTTGAATTACACCAGCAGTTCGTTGCTGCGGTGAATCAGCTCGGAGTTGACAGTAAGACAAATCTTGGTTGCATTCTTTGGATATATATATATATATATATATATATATATATATCTTAAACACAACTGGAACTCGGGTTCTTGAGGGTTATTACTCTTGGCTTAATCTATTGTATCGGGTATCAATGCAGAAGCGGTTCCTAAAAAGATCTTGGAGCTGATGAACGTACCCGGGCTAACTCGAGAAAATGTAGCCAGTCATCTCCAGGTAGAGTTGGGAAATGATCCAGATTTTTGTATATACATATATCTATTTTCTCGAGATGTTTGAATGCTTATAGTGTCGCCATTAACACGGGATTGCAGAAGTATCGGATATATCTCAGAAGGCTCGGAGGGGTATCGCAGCATCAAGGAAATCTGAACAACTCGTTTATGACTGCTCAGGATGCGGGCTTTGGTCCACTGTCTACGTTGAATGGGTTTGATCTTCAAGCTCTAGCTGTTGCAGGTCAGCTCCCTGCTCAGAGTCTTGCTCAGCTCCAAGCTGCTGGACTTGCACGGCCTGCTGTTGTCTCTAAGCCCGGGATTTCGGTCTCTCCCCTTGTTGATCAGAGGAACATCTTCAATTTCGAGAACGCTAAAATGAGATTCGGAGATGGGCACCGCCATCCGCAACCGCAACCGCAACCGCAATCACTGGTGAATAAGCAGATGAACTTGCTTCACGGCGTTCCGACGGGTATGGAGCCCAAACAACTTGTGGGTTTGCAGTCTATGGGCGGACGGGTGAGTGTTCAGCAGATCGCTGCCTTGCGTTCGGGACAAAACGTTCAGACCAGCACGATGCTGATGCCCACAACGGGCCAACAGCCACGAGGGCCCCCAATGCTGCCATCGTCTTCTTCCCTCGGGAATCAGCAAATGATGCCAAACAGCGTTTCCGGGAGAAGCAGTCTCTCTGAAACGGGTTCCAGGAGGAACAGCATGGGCGTCCCTGAGAGCAGCCAGGGTTTACCCTCAGCTTACAACATCATGACACAACATACGGGAACCTCGGGTTTCGGAAACTTCCCGCCCGAACTCACTGGAAACAGATTCCCGCTCGCCAGCACTCCTGGAATAACCATTCCAGTGTCGAGAACCGCATCTTACCAGGAAGAGGTGAACAGCTCTGACACGAGAGGGACGTCAGCCGCCACGACCACGACCACAGCCACGGGGTTCAACCCGAGCTACGACCTGTTCAGCGAACTTCAGCAGAACAGCAAACAGGGTGATTGGGATCTGCGGAACATCGGAATGGCTTTTGACACACATCAGGAGGCAGTGTTCACGCCCTTTTCCGTTTCATCGGAAGGGTATTCTTCGACTTCGATGCAGAGAAACGGGCAGAACGCAAATGCGGCGGCGGCGGCGGCTGGGATGGAAGGGAGGGGGGCCGGGTTCATGCCGGGAGAAGGGAAGGATAGCGGTCGGAATCAGGGACAGAATAATATGAACCAGGTTTATGGGGACAGTGGATCGGTGAGGGTGAAGTCGGAGATGTTCCAAGATCAGTATAACCAGGAAGATCTCATGAGCGCTCTCCTCAAACAGGTTTGATTTTATGATTCTCAGACAAGAACAAGAACAGTTACTTCACGGATTTGTGAGATTTTGATGATGTCTTGATAACATTTACACACATATATATATATGTATGCATATATTGCAGGAAGGCATTGCAGCGGCGGCGGATAACGAATTCGACTTCGATGGCTATTCGATCGATAACATTCCCGTGTGACTGGCGATGATCGCTCTGTAATATTCTTTCTTCCTTTGAATGGTTGGATAGAAGATTTTATTTAAAGATAGCTCCAGGTATTAGAACGGTTTTGTATTATTATTATTATTATTGTTAGATAATGATGATGATGATGATGATGATGATGATGATGAACTGCTGAAGAGCTCAACGTCGTATATATGATCTGCATGAGAATCTGCATGCAGAGATTATCGGAGAAAGAAAGAAAAGGGTGTCAGGAGTTACGTGAAATCTGCAGATATTATTATTATTATTTTTTTCATGGGGACCTTTAGGGTTTTGATCTTCTAACAGCTGTTTTTTTTTAATAATTACGAGATTTGTGTAAATACTTTTGCTATTTGTATTTTCTTGTTATGTTTATTACTCGAAAGTCTTCTAAAACTCAAAAGCCCTGAGGTTCTTATTTCGACTTGGGGATTTTATTGTTCGGTTTCTGTATAATTGTAACTCTTTTTCAAGTTTGCATTATATTTTTAAAATTTTATTTTATTTCTTTGATATATTTTTTTTATTCTATTGCGATATTCCTCGATTGAGTAAAACTAAAGATAAGGTTCTTACTTAGTGTAGACTTCTTGCACCATCGAACCGTCTGAACCATATCAACCGATGAATCAAATCGAATCGGTTAGCTAATCAACAGTAAACCGGAACTCATACGTTGTTCGGTTCTCTAATTTTCTTCCTTTAACCTGATCCAAGGAGGCAAACCGGTAACCGGTTTACCTAAATGGAGAGCAACACAGACAGACCCACCTTTGATTCCTGTCGGTTATATATGGGCCCTTTAAAGTGCGAGCCTTAAAAAAAGTGAAAAATAGGCCCACATAGGCCCATACATTTCCTTAATTATTTATGGATTTTCTTTCCTAATATATAGTTTTTTTATTTGGCATTTTTTTCGATATATACTGTTTTAAGAATCAAAATCCACAACGTATTTGCTATATCATATGTTGACTGACTATAATTTATAAAGTTGTATTTATTTTCTACTTAAAATATTACTTTCGGTAGAGAGAAACAAATCTGAATTTTAAAAACGAGTATATAAAAAATTTTAGTAGATTTTCAACACAAGTAAAATTGTTTTTTTGTAAATTATTTAACAATATTGAATTTATCCATTACTACATTTATATATTTTTTATTAGTTTTAAAATCCAAATTTAGATAGTTTTGGATTTTTATTTCCAAGTTTGTATCTGTTATATGTAGCCATCCAAATTTTTTAGGGATAATTCCATTTAAAACCCTGTACTTTTCTCTCGTCGCAATTTAAACCCTATACTTTTTTTTGATCCAAAAAAACATTGTACTTTTAAAAATTGGCAATTAAAACTCTATACTTTTAAAAATTAGCAAATAAAACCCTGAACGAAAAACAATATTATTTAATGCTGACATGGCATCCTAGTCATCTGCCACATCATCAATCCCTAATATTTAATAATATTAATTAATATAAAATAAAAATAAAATAATAAAAATAAAAATAAAATTTTAAAAATTATACACATACATATATAATGAAATGATATACATATATACACATATATAAACATATTTATATATATACACACATATATATAATACATATATATATATAT